CCCCCCGCCCCCCCCGCGTAGAAAACCACCGCCTACTTACCTCTAAGGTGTCGAGACCGCAAGGGGTGCATGGCGCGGCCAAGGAGCAACTCGGACCCTGAGCGGCGGTGCAATCCCGCGTGCTCTTTATGTACAAGTTCACCTAAAGCGCGGCCGAGACGCAGCAACGCACACGAGATAGGGAAGGTTCGCGTGTCGCATTGAGGCTAGGGTGGACAGCGTTCCTCAACATCCAAACACACGGGAACCACCGCCAGGTGTGCGCTTCTGATGTACAGCAGTAGAGGCCACGGGTGAAGAGAACATCGGATTGGTGACAGTGTTTTCGGCTCGTCCCGACCATGAGAAATACAAATATTACAAAGTACGGCGGCTACGGAGAAAACCGGACTGAGAGTGATGTTGTCCCTCAAAACCGTAGCCGCTAGCGTATCACATTTTATTCCGGGTCCATAAATGTGTTTGCTTTTGGTCGCGAGCATTCAGTCCAGTTGGTTGTCGTCGTCCAGTTGAGATTAGGCTCGTGTGCACCAAAGGAGCTTTTTGTTTCTAGCTTAACGAGCGGGATAGGCGAGGAACAAACTGTTTTCGCATAATTGTACGAATGGACAAGACTCGGTGCGAAGGCGAAATAGGTCTCAGTACAGCGTCAACAACAACAACAACCACAACAACGATACTTGTAGACAGGCCATTTGTTGACGTTACAACACCGTTCAACAACTTTACATTTGTTGACGTTACAAAACAAAGCACAAGGGGCAAAAGAGGCGCTGACATAGCCTTGGTATGGCACGGTGCGGTGTGAGCTTGGCAGGGCACGCCCCACAGAATTCGGTCAATACGAAAATACATGCCAACAACAAATCACACCCTCTGGAGGTTAGAAACAGGTTGAGGGTTGTATTAATCATGCCGAGATGCGCGTTTGGTCGAGTCGCCTTAAAAGCTTCTTATCCTCGAGTATGCATGCACTTATCGGGCACTGCTGACATGTTTGGTCGAAATATCTGAAAAAATTTCTTGGTGCCGAGTACACACGTTATCGGGGGCGCTGAGAAACGTGTTTGGTCGGGTTGCCTGTAACACTCCTTGGTCATATTGGTACACTTTACGGCAGCTTGCTCAAGTTTTCATCTCTCGCGAAAAGAACGAAGGAATGCACGGCATCATAGGAATCTCGTCCGCGCTACGACCCAGATCGTTGCGCTTCCTTAAGTCAATGGAGGGTCGGACGGACCACACAGCAGGTAGAGCCAGACGCACAGAACATCCACTTCGACTATGTACGGTATTACCTCGAAGGGCAGTCTTCCTTTCATTGTGTGAATATTAAAAATATATATCCCTTTCGGCAATGTATGGTATGGTATTACCTCGAAAGGGTTAATCGTCATTCTTTGAATTGTACGTAGTTCTTCTAGAAACGGGGCCATCACCGTAAACGAAAACAGATCACCTTGCAAGCTTGCCCACAGCAAAGGTCCCCGTACTTTGGGGTTGAGAACCTCTTACTCTTTCCGAGGACCGTGTCATATTCCCCCCCTTTTTTGTGGGGTATACCCCAACATCGAATCCACAGACGTTTAGCGTAGGATTCTTGGCTGAACACGTGTACTTACGGCCAAATTCTCGTGCTTCGTATTTAATAACCGCTGTACAGGCTGACTTTGATCACGGCTGTCAGTTTCTTGAGTAAATAGTGGGGCACACTTGTACCGTGTCCCGTAAGGTTGCGAGTCAGCGCACAGGGGTGCGATCGATTTTCAAAGCGTAATTTCTCCACAACCTGGAGGGTGCGAGCGCCAACTGATCCTTCTCAGCAAAGCTCTAGATGAGATATTTCCAAAACCGCCCGACTGTGGCAACCTCCTGGTTATGGAGAAAATACGCTTTGAAAATCGTTCGCACCCCTTTGCGCTGACTCGCAACCTTACGGTAGTTACTGCTGATGGAGGAATTTCGACGATACTGCGCTCCTTGTTTTAGAACCGCCTCAAGAAGAGCCTCTTTTGCCACTGACCGGTGTATGGTTGATATCCCAGCAGAGAGCCGTCCCATCCTTAGGGCACACCGACGGGTCGACCCATTCGCCTGGAACGGAACGGGTGGCATTTACGGTACGGTACTGAGCTTGAGGTGATACATGCTTGCGGGCGGTGTGCCGGGGGGCCTTCCTTGTGACATGTGGCATACATGCCCTGCAGGGGGAAATGAGGAAAGTGGTAGACAAAGAGTGCTGCTGCGGTTACAGAGAGAGGAAGATGCAACTGTAGTATCGAACGTGAGGGCATAATCAGGCGGGTTCGTGGCTTACCGTCAAGTATACCATGCCAAATGCATCCCTTTTATCCAAGTAGTGACAGTTAAACTCTACCATACTATTTGCAGATTCATCCACAAGGCTCTCTCATATACCGTAGGTCGCATACACGGTAAGATATCACACCCCCATGAACATCGCTTCAAACCCCGGTTCCTCCGCGACCAAGAAGACTCCAGGTGGTATCGTCTTTGGAAAAAGACCCACGACACGATTCCAACGCCATTGCCATTTTCGGCATCATCAACACTGAGGTGGATTAATCTAGCATTGAAAATCAGTCCAGGGGGGTGTTATCTTACGCATAAAACCTACCGTACCAGTAGAGGTCCCTGTTTAGTGCAGGCTGAATAGTGCCGGTGCCCGGAATAGTGCCACACGGTGTTTTCGGCGGGCACACACTGAATTCCCAAGACATTGTCAGTACTTTTAATAGTGCCGTTCCGCTTATAGTGCCGTTGGATTTGCTGGACACAATATATACCGGCACTAAACAGGGGCCTCTACGGTATACAACAGATTGGCGCGACGGCAAAGGCCTTCCACCTGAGGTCAAGTTCTTGCAGAAGGCGCCGAAGGGGCAGAAGCACGGGTTTATGTCGAAAGAGCTGCCGGAACTGTCCGCCCTCTTCCCTCCCTTGGTACTCTGTAGGCAGTCCCATCTCTCGATCGACGCTCCCTACGCGAAACCCAATTAGGTGCGATCAAGGGGGTGGCACCGTTGGGATTTTTCAGGCGGGGGGGGGGGGGGGGGTACCAATCTTTCGATTTGAGGGTCTACGGATGACATTTCATGAGAGCACGGATGTTTACTTGAGTAGGTGTGAAAAACGGTCAACACAAGGACTTTTGGACGCCAAAGAGCTGCCGCGGGAAAAAATCCCGAAGGCAACCTCATGCTAGTCGCTCAAACGGCGTCGCCACCGACAAACTCTGCCCTGTGCGCCGAGCGAACCAAAGCAACAGGGCCGACCGCCTACCCTCACACATTTAAAGGTGTGAACGGTACTTCTTTGGTATCAGCTATTTTCCTCCGTGGTCGGCGATACGGTTACCCGCGAAACGAAACCAGAAGGTATGACGGTGCGGTACCCGGTACGACCTGGTAACGTTCATGACTCTTGGGGATGTGGATCTTATCGGCCAACGTGTTCAGTCGTACAACGAATATCAGCAACAGGACCCGCTGGAAATACATGTACTCTTGCAGCACGTGAAATCGAACGGGTGATTTCATCGAAAGGGCACAGCAGTCCTTCTTTTCATTATGTCACGCACGCTCGCTAAGAAGGAACGAGGGAGTTTCGACGGCGCCAAGGCGCGCAGCACACCCTGGGAACGCTCCCCCCTACACGTCGCAGGAGGCCAGCGCCTTCCTTATTCCTTAAAGCGGACAACCAAGGCAGGCGCCCACCCGTACACGCCTTGGTGCCTTGCTTGGCTGCCCGTCACAAGCTGCGCCATCGCCCGGAAGGCTTGGCGCACGCGAGGGGGCCTCTCCTTTGCTTCGCGAGCAGCGCCGACTCTTGCAAAAAGAAGGAGGCTCTTAGACAACGACAAACCATTCTCCAGCTCTTCGACAGGCACAACATAAAAAAACGAGCCCAGATGACAACAACGATTAGTCGCACTCACCCTCCTCGAAGCCCAATCTGTGGGAACTTTGACAATTGCGAAGAAGAGGTAGTAGTACTGCCACCAAAGCCACCACGGTTGAGACAGGCCCACACAGGGGGAAGGAACATAATCGGTTACGATACAATGGAAGGGAGGGGGGGGCGGGCGGGCGGTGAAATTCAGTGGTCAGTGGTCAGTACTGCTGGGACCTTTGAGAATACGACCCGATCATGAATCTCATCAGGTCAGATGGAAAACCACCCTTAGTGACGGACGTCTAGCGGACAATGTAGTGCGCAGTGTGAAACCGACGTTATCTCTACTCCAGTTTCGCGTTGGTGCCTGTGTTGCCCTCTCTTGCGGAAAGGAAGACGGGAGAGGTCTATCTTAATCTTTTGCCGCGCCACCCTCTTACCCCGCATGTGTTGTGACCCCACGTGCTGATCCCTGCCACTATGCGGGCCATTCCCCCCTCTTCTCTATACCAATCGGGGGGGGAGGGGGGGGTGCTCATGTTTTTCATGCCTTAGCGGTTAGACCATTGACCACGCGTCGACGAGAGGACGGAGCTTGGACGGGGGGGGGGGGGCACTCATGTCTTGCATGCCTTAGCAGTTAGACCATTGACTACGCGTCCTCGAGAGGACGGAGCATTGTTCCCACAGGACCGATCACCGACGGCCAATCGTTCCTTCGTATGCCACACCATGGAACGGGGGGAGGGGGCGATACACGTATCCATACCCGTTCATTCCGCACAGCAACTGTACCATGGAACGGGGGGAGGGGGCGATACACGCATCCATACCCGTTCATTCCGCACAACAACCGTACCATGGAACGGGGGGAGGGGGCGCTACACGCATCCAAACCCGTTCATTCCGCGCAACAACCGTTTCACACAGAGAAAACGGGAGTCCATCCATCGTGCAAGGCCCAAACAAGCGGGCGTACTGCTGTACCTCGCAAATTACGATCGCCACGAGAAGACCGGAGACGAAGACCGGACGCCAGCGCACGGACGGGCCCACGATGACATTGGCCGACAGCGCCAAAGCCACCAGCGTTAGCAGCTGCGTCGCACGGCGGGGCGGGGCCGGGGGGGTAGGTGACAATGTTAGAGGCATTCGACCAGGGCATGTCTTTACCACGCTGCTGGTGTTAAGAGTGCCAGCGGCAGATCGCTTGCTCTTTCCGTGGCGTTGTTTTTGTTGTTTGACGTTGGGTGGCGCGTACGCCGTCAGTGGATTGTTTGCTGTCGTTCATGCTGTCAATCGTTTGACAATCCGTTTCGGCATCCTACGTCGTGACTCTCCTCCTGTACCCTTTTAAGGCAGGGAACCGGACTGCCATCAACCACAAGAATAGGGAAGGCGCAGAGAAAGCAATACAATCCGCTAAGAAATCGTAACCCCCAGAATCACAAGCACAGACAAACACTGGCCATACATACTTCCTAGGACCGTGAACGTTGAATACGCTGTTTTTTTCTGTCAATATTTAACTTTTACAAGTAGTCTCAAGAAGCCAGTTTTCGGCGCACCGACATGTCGGTCGAACGGTTTCGCCCAAGTGTATACACCCTGTGCTACTGTTGTGCGATACGCCCCCGTCATTGGTCAGTACTCGCGCCAATCATTTGTCAATAACTGCCTCTAGGTGTTGTCCTTCTCCATGTTGTCCCTACAGCAGTTATTACAATATCACGTCTCCCAAGCATGCGCTACAGTCTGGCTGCAGACTCAACCAAGCTGCCCATTGTGTCTTCCACGTACAATATGTATTTGCAGCGTCTGTAGCAGCCTGGGTTAGCACCTCGATTATCTAAAATTATCAGGCGGCGTGTCGACCTACATACATTCTCAATGCAAGCACAGAGTGTGTGCATTAGCACCTCTCTCTGCTGTATGCTGTGTATAGTAATATAGTCTAAGGCTGTACTTCGAAGTACTATCATGTGGACTGCTGCACAATGATACTAAGTGTTCGTGAGTAGGAGCGTGCAAATCGTACGGCCGTCTGCTGCTGCTGCTGCGGTAAGTTGCGAGGGATTTGTCTTGACTTTAGACCAAAAGCTGACAAACGGCCGTGGCACTTCTTCTTTGGTTTGAGAGAAACGTGTTGTTTGTTGTCTTCACAGTAAAAACCGTTCCTTCCATTCTCTCTGCCTAGTCCCTTCTTCTGTCCGTACTATATAGTCGAACACTTGACGGGGTCGATTTCCGTGGTGACAGGCTAACTTATACCCAAAAAAGTGTGGAAGAAGTATAATATATTATGTTTCCTAAGCATATTCTTGTCTACACGTGCTGGTTGGTGGAGACAAGTCCCAACCTCTGCTCTCTGCTCTACCTAGTCTTACGGGACAAGAACGAACGGCTTTCTTGGCAACGTTAACATTTGCTAGCTGGGTCTCGGTGTTTTTTCGTTTTGTCGGGGTCTCAGCAGTGAAGAGTCAAGATCGGCACATATTTCAGCAACCCGCCGCCGCCCGCTGCATGCTGTCTCTTCCCTACCGCGCGCTTCCTCTCTTTGCACACGTGTTCCCTTTCTTTCCTTTGCATACTAAGGTTCCTGTTCGAGACCGCGTACCAGTCTGCTATGTATGTATGCTCGTCTACAGCTGCTAGCATCGCCTTTCAAAATTGTAGTTCTTTGTAACAGGTAGATGGAAGGCTGCACACCGCGCCTACAAGATGCATCTCAGATCCTGTAAATAGTACAAAGTCGGTTGATGATGATCATCACTACAGGTGCATTTTCAAAGGCGGGGCATTTCCAAGCATCAGCATCGCACGATCCCCGGCACAACGAACCGCGTTTGTCAAGCTGATCTGGGCTCTAGCTACAACTGCTGTAACTTGGCCGTGGGTAAATGGAAGCCCTGCACTCCGGTTGACAGCAGTTGACAACGTTCTCTCTATTCTTTACAATGGTCAATATTCTGCTGTCTACAGACAGGGACCGCCGTTCACTGAGAAGTATAATTGCTGTGTGGACATGCCTACGATCTGTTGATATTTGCTCACCGCTTTTAGCCAGCATTCGGCCAAAGTCGTCACTGCTGTCATCGCATCAGACCAGTCCTCCGCCCTCTCTCAGAAGAACCCACTCGGGACTGCATTGTACTGCGAAGCCTCAACACATCAACGTCAAGAGCTCTCTGTGTAAACTCCCAGGGGCGTTACGATGGGTGGGGGGAACGGGGATGCTAAACTCTTCTTTTTTTTTTCCTTGTTTTCCTGCATTATCTCCTGCAATTTCCTGTGTTGGCCGTTAATAGGCTTGGTTGGCGTCGTCAGGGGGGTCTAGCTAGCCGATTTTGTGTGTGTCCTACTTGGTATGCACGATACAGCCAACAGCAGGGAGGAAGAGCCTTGGCATTCCCCGTGCGCGCACGAGAGAGAGAGAGACATACAAAAGAGGTTGGCGTGTGCAGATCGGCGGGCGCGAAGCAGCCACTAGCGCCAAAGCCCACAGAAGCAAGAGGTGCCAGCGGAAACCCGTTGGAGTTGTCTCGTGCGAAAACAATTTTTGCTTGTCGGCGCCGGCGGGGTCGTCTTGAGTCAACTCAGTGATTGCTGCTGCTGCTGCTGCAGCTGGCAAAGACGCAACAGTGGGTTAAGTCGCAGATCGGGGCAAGGGGAGGCCGGGAGCTTCGGCGACGGGGTGTCGGGCTGGCGTGACTGTTGTGGCGTGGTCGCACAGACGCAAGCGTTTGGCCGATTAATTCAACAGGAGGGCGTTGGCGACAGAGAGTCCGAGACGAGACGTTGGGAAAAAAGGAAAGGGGTCGGCGGCACGCGTCAGCTGGGCCAAGCAGGAGCAAACGGGAGGCAGAGGGAGGGAAAGGTCTTGAGGTGAGACGATTCATGTCGCAGAGGAGAGCAGCGCACGGGCGGGCCGAGAGGGCACACAGATTTCCACCGCTGCTACGTACCATGTTCGCGCGAAAAACAACAGTCGGCGAGGTTGATGTCTGTCTTTTGTTCGAAAGAGCCGAAAAAAGTGTCCAAAGGCGCGCGGCTCTCTCTCCGCTCTCTCTCTAAACTGAAAGGAAAATGGCGTTTTTTGTTTTTTGGTCGCCTATCTTCAAGTGCTTTTCGAAACCAACAAGCTCTCGTGCGGCGGGGCACGTTGGCGTCCCGCCCCTAGCAGATAAGGCTGGGATCGACCTTCCACGGCACCAGATAATCCCTTCTTCCTCCCTCGGCGTGCTCCCGACTGGTGTTGTTGGCGTTGACTTGGACGGGTCCTGGTGTATTATTATTTGGCGGGGTGGTGGTGTGGCATGTCCCCCCGACAAAGGAGACGTAGTCTGACCCTTTAGACAGGGAAAGAGTCACCGGAACAATCCATCGACGGCACTCACTGACTGAAAGAGGATGAAAACGATACCAAGGAGCTTTTCCGAGTATCTTACAACAACATGCGTTGCTGCACGCTGTGATGTGCTAGCAGGGCTCGCGTTCTTCTCCGAGCAAGGCCTTGATCGCCGTGTTTTTTGTTTGAGAGTCAGCAAGGCTCACTTGCAATTTCCTGTCGAAGAGAAGGATAGTCGAGACCGTGCCTCCTGGCAGCTGCTTCTTATTCTTCCTACTTCTCCTCTCTCTTCCCTTTTTCTCTCCGACTTTGCTATTATAGTGCCCACAAACGGGCTAGTCAGTGGGAGGGTAATGTAGACTAGTCGCCCAACTAAGCAAGCCTATTTATATTACATGTCATACCTCTCGCTAGCATCTCGACGAAGCAATCCTGTACCGCTCACAGGAAACAGATTCGGCGCGCGCTGGGCATACCACGCACCATCCGCCCAGGTGACAGTTTTCGGAAGGGCTATAATTCAGTACCGCAACATTGGTTCGTGTCCTGTGGCCGCAGCAGTAAAGAGTGCGCCAAAGGCGGCATTCCGTTTCGGCCGTCTTGCCCTCAACGAACTGCTTTCTTTTTTCAAGTCCTTGCTGAAGTGCGAGTCTCTCCTACATCCTGTGTACGCAGGTGTAGTTGTCGCTTTGTTGGTAGTTGCGTGGTCCCCGTGTCGTCAGGCAGCCTGTTTGTGCCTCCCATGGGCGTCTGTATGCACATACGGATCTGTAATTCTGTTTCGGGGCGTGTGTGTGCATGTCTGACTCGCAGGTGCGATTATATTAACTTCTGGCAGATGTTGGGCCGCCGGCACCATAAGGTTGTTGCGATGTTGGCCCTCATACTGCTGTAGCCTCTGATACTATTGCTCCGCTTGTCTGTTGTCGGCGTTGTTGTTGATGAAGAGGGACTTGTTTCTCTCCAGCTACATGCAGTAGCATGCTTATGTTCGCGTTTGTTGTTGCGGTCGTGCGATCGATGTTCTCGCCAAGAAACAGTGCCCGGTCGTGTTGAACCAGGAAGTACGTGGTACATCAGTTTCGATACCACGGAGGTATGCATATGTACTGCGGCATTGCGACGTCTGTCTGTGGTGTTTCTTTGTGCTCGTGTCTTGTCCATCACGAACCCCCGGGTGGTGGACGACGGGAGGGTCAGTGTCGCAGGTTGTGGTGTCAATTGAGGTCGTGGAGCGCCAGATGTCGGGGGTGGGATGTTTTTCTGGGGCAGGACTGACAGCTGTATGTTTGTAGACCCAGAAGTGTTATTGTTAAGTCGTTGTCGTTTTTTTAGGCGTACAATAGGTGAGGTATGAATGTCTGCATGCTGGAGCGGGTCCTTCCGACCGGAATTCGCGCGGGATTGTTGGTGTCGGCACGGCGGTTTTTGTTGTTGCCGATGGTTGTTTGCGATTTTGAACTGGTGTAGATTCTAGTTGTTGTTGGCCGTGCTTGACTGTTGTTATTTGCCCTTGGTCCTCCTATGTCACGAATACTCAAGTATGCAAGCCCGGGAAGCGTCTTCTTAATGTGCAATGAAACAGACGGATGCTCCTTCGAAGTTCTTGCGAACTAACCGGCTGCCTTCGTCTTGTGTCCGCTATGTTCTCACTCCGCTTGTTTTGGTCTCTCTCTTGCCTCCCTGTGCCTGTTTCTCTTTCGCCGCCGCCTCTGCCCGCCCGCTCTTGCCTCCCATTGGCTCGCTCTCTCAGGCAACAACAAAGAATCACTTAACCTTTGTCGTTGCAAAACAAACGAACGAGCGAAACGCACGCGAAACAGACACGTGCGGCAGCGCTCGCCACGCGGCTGCGCTGGGGAGGCATCCACCTCCCGCAGAGAACGGGCCTCCAGGGGTGTTGCCCCGCGTTGCATGGCTGCAGACCTCGACCACAGGTCTCCAGATGCATCTCAATGGGGCGTCACCTCTCCTGTAAGCAGCACCGGAATAGGCCCCGGGGTTTACAGCGCCAGATCGGGCGTTGCGGAAGGGGAAGGCGGGGGAGGGGGAGGGGGAGGGGGCGGGGACAGTAGAGCGGCGGCGAGAGTGAGGTGCGGGAGCGGAGGTGGAGGAGGAGGGGGAGCAGGCGTAGCCTCGCCTTCTGCCAGCGGTACAGGGGCGGGAGCTGCCGGCGCTTCTGCCGGCGCGGGAAGCGTGCAGACATCAGGAGGTGGAGTTGCAAGGCAGGAGGCCTGGGGGCAACCGAGAGGCTTGGACAGGGTCAGCGACGGGTCAAGGCCGTCGGCTGGTGGCAGCGTCGGGGATAGTCAGTCCCCACATCAACAGCGGCGGCAGCAGGAGCAAGGTTACCGAGATCAGCGCCACCCGCACCGCCGGCAGCACCTCCCAAGAGGTAGCTCCAGCCACAACGCAGCAGCCGGAAAGCGACAGCAACGTCGAGGGGAAGGGCTACCGAAACAAGGGGCGGGCGGCGGCACCACCGCACGCAGAGGCGGGAGATATCAAGGGTCAAGCCCCGGAGACACGATGGAAACGGAGTCGCCGGAGGCGTGGGCAGCAGGCGCCGCGGGCGACGCGAGTGGCAGTGGAGTGCCAGCGGCCGGTGGTTCGTCGGGCTCGGCCGCGGCGGCGTCGGAAGGGGGAGGGTCTCGAATAGACGAAGCGGCGGTAGCTGGTAGCGGCGGCGGGGTGGGGGCGAGGAGGGGAAGGCCGGCGTCGGAGAGGCTGGCGCACAAGCTCAGCGTTAGCCTTATCGACACCTACAAGCTTATCAACCAGAGGTGAGCGAGCATGCGTGTTGTGTCCCGAGAGATGAAAAGGTGTGTGTGTATGTGTGTGTGTGTGTGTTTGTTTGTGGGGAGGAAAATCATGATCATGAGGCAGAGACAGCAGGGCCGTTCAAGCCGTGAGTTGCCTCTCGTCGGTATGTTTTTTCTTACGTTATGGTAGTTTCATGAGCAGCACCCATACGCCCGTGCCGAAACAGCTCCATGTGCGATGAGCTCAACGATACATTTGAACTCGTAAAAAAACAAAAAAACGAACGTCCCAAAGACGATGTTATCTCTATTGCATACCACGTTGTTTCGAAGGCGAACTTTGCACATTGTCTGTCTTGTGTTGGATAGGCTTGGGTGTGATGCTGGATGGGTATAGTATGCAACGTCTTGTGTGCAGGCCGCGTTGCCCCCCCCCGCGCTGCCTTGTGACTTGCTGTTCGTTCGGACCATGTACATGTTGATTCGGTTTTTCGTCGTATCACGACCATTTTGCTTTGGTTATTGTCTCTGCGTGGTTTTGCCTACGGGCCATGAACCGGGTGTCGTACATACATATCGCCGCCTCCCACGACCGACACGCGCATCAGCCATAAATATTTTGGCCACTACACGGCAGAAAACGTTCCCGAGAGTAGGAAGGGACAGCCAGTTATACCCCTGCGCCTTTGTGACATGTTTTTTGTGACTTCGAACTGGAGTGGTTGTCTGCAGGGAAGACTCCAGGAGTCTACTATTTATTGATGCCGTTGTGTTTCCTGTGGTCGTACGCTGACGTGAAGACCCAGCACTTCGCCCGTGCGTCTGTCCTGGGCACAGTTGAACGCGTCACCCCAGTTGCCGTTAACTGTACCAACCCCCCGCTGCTTCGCGCGGGCCGGTCACCGCCGTTCCCCTTCCACGATTTTCCGTCCTTCGACAATAACGCCTCTTTTCTTTTCCCGATTCTCTCTGCCCTCTTTGCACGCGACACGTCTTATTCAAATTGGCACCATCGGTAGATATTACGCCGAGAAATCTAGGCAGCAGTCGCAGGAAGCTGCCGCGGCTTCAGCGCCGACGTCTGCTGCGGCAGGGGGGGCGGCCGGGGGAGGTAGCGCGGCCGCGGCGGCGGCACGGGGGGGCGGTTTGGGGAAAGCGCCGGCTAGGCAGGGGGGCGTGTACAACTACGGCATGGATGATGAGAACTTCGATTACATCGTGCACGAGGGGGAGGTGTTCCAGGGGCGGTACGCCGTCAGAGAAACCATCGGGAAGGGTGAGTCAAGTGGCCGAGTTGGGACCGGTGATTGGTTCGGTAAGAGAAGGTAGAAGGTAGGGTGAGTGTTGGTTAGGGTTGTACCCCTAAGTTTACGGACCTCTCTCTCTCTTTCTGTTCCTCTGTCTGTGTCTCTCTGCCTCTCTTTTTCTCCCTCTGTCTTGTCTCTCTTTCTTCAAATCTCCCTGTCTAGTTGTTTGTATGCCATGTCTCCCTTGGTGGTTGTTCACTGTTTGTGGGACTTCACACACATGAGCTCACTTGCCGAACGTGAACGGTTTCTCACACCGATATATATATGCGTTTCGTGCTTTTCGGTCTCTCGATCGCTGGACAGGCTCGTTTGGCAAGGTATACAAGGCGTGGGATTCCAAGGACAAAGTCTACGTCGCTCTCAAGGTCAGAATTTATTGGGTGCATTCTAAGACTGTAGGTACAATTTTTTCGTTTTGGTTCGTGAAGGTTCGCTGGACTGTTGGAGCCAAAAACACGTCACCTGTGTGAGCTGTGAGCTTGGGGAACGTCACTGGTAGCAGCTCGCAGTCAGCTGTGAGTTGGGTCCTTCTTGTTGCTGTTTGGTTCTCATCTGGCATCACCGCTTGATGGCACTCTGCAGCCCACTGCAGAGGGATCACATGTATGTACTTGCATTTGATTGTTTGACGTGTAGGGTTCCGTTGTACCGTTTTTTTACGAGCGGGGTAACTTTTTTTGACGCTTTTGACGCAAGCACTTGTACCGCGTTGTGCCGCATTATGGATGGAAGCGTCTTCCTGCGACGCGAGGTAAACTTGTATTCGAGCGAACATGAGCCGGAACTTTTTTTTTTGTTGTCGACGATTTTGGGCGGTTTCAGGTGATCAAGAGCAAGAGGCCGTTCACGATGCAGGCGAAGGTGGAGGTGAACATCCTCATGCTGCTGAGGGAGAGAGACCCGGAAGGAAAATACAACTGCGGTGAGCAAAAGAAAAACAACGTACCAGTATAAGATATCGTGAATTGATCAGCGGGACAAAGCACGTAGACTACCTGTGGTAACACGCTTTGTAGTCTGGGGGGGGCCGGTTCGGGGGTGTCGGGGGAGTTAAGAGGACAGAGAGGGTCCAGTCAGCTGCCGGATTCAGAGCAAGTGCATGAGGGTACACCCAGTTGCCGCGACTCGAGCTAGAATAGCACCATTCTTTTCCCTGCGGTGCAGCGCTTCTCTTATTGTGTGTGCGTTTTTATTTTCAGGGTCCAGGTTATGGACACGCTTGATGTTGCCCGATGACCAAGCAACCGATACCAAGTACACGTCGCGTTTCGTGAGCCGCAGACACCCATCAGCCCTGCGCCCGTGGGGTGTCGTGTCGTGTACGCTTGAGAGAGTTTTTCTTACCGTGCTTTCCCGTTTTTCCATGTTGTGTCGATGCGTGTGTGTGATCCATCTACGGCTGCGATGATCGCAGCGCGCATGCTGGACGAGTTCATGAGCCACAACCACCAGTGCCTGGTGTTCGAGATCCTGTCCTTCAACCTCTACGAGTTGTTGCGATCGACGCAGTTTCAGGTGCGGTGTTCCGCCGCTGTTGTGTGTGTTTGCGGTCTTGCGCCGCGCTTCGCCCACGGCTAGGCTTGTACTCGATAGGCTTTTTTTTCGATTTACTTACAAGATGCACTACTAACTTTCTTCCGGTCTATATTCAGTTTAAGTGATCCACACAACAACAACACATGGCAAAAGCCTATCGAGTACAAGCCTACCTACAGCGTTGTGTCGGGTATGTCACACGGGTTTGCCGTAAGAAGTCCCGTACCGTGCCTCGGCTTGCCGTACCATGTTGCTGTTGCCGTTGCTGCTGCTGTTGCTGTTGCTGTTGTTGATGTTGATGTTGTTGTTGCTCTGTTGAACATTTTTTTCAAGCGTCTGATTAATACCACGTTGCCCCGCATGCATAAAATGCCGCTGTCGTGGTTGCCGTGGTTGTCGATGTGCACTGAACCTGCTTTGCTGTCGTGCGCCTGTTTGATCGATCGCAGGGAGTATCGCTGCACCTGGTGAGAAAATTCGCTAGGCACCTCCTGCGAGCGCTGGCCTTCCTATCCCTTCCCCAGGTGAGGCATGCAACTCGGAGATTCAGCAGTCGCGGGCCCCCTATCGGGAGGGCGTGTTCCTGGCCGATTTCTCCGGCACTATCGGAACTCGCCCTACTACAGAGCAGATACAACAACGTGATTACAGTAGTCCGCCTGTTGCAAGAGATTTAACCCGCCCTGTGCCGGCCACCCCCCCCTGCCGATATTTCCCGCTGTCTGCGTTGTGCGCGTGGATCGCTCTCTCGGTTAAGATACCTTCCTTCCGTGTGTTTACAAGCACTGCGGCATATGTGGGAGGCAGGCCTTTCCTCGCGATTCCCCCCCCCCCCCCCTGTTAGATGGGTGTGAACCACTACAAAATGACCTCGATCATGTTCCATTGGCTTCTTGTTATATTTGTTCTTTTTGGGAAAAGTAGACGTCACTACTATGACATGAATTAAATTTTACAACTTGTTTCTTGTTCTTTTTGGAAAAGGTGGACGTCATCCACTGTGATCTCAAACCGGAGAACATTCTCCTCCAGCACGCCAAGCGGTCCAACATCAAGGTCATAGACTTCGGAAGCTCTTGCCGCTCCAACAACAAGGTGATGACCCGTTCTCCGGTATTGTGCTTGGTCATTGAAAAATCCTTGTGGTATCCACCAGAGTTCATGTGGTACATCTTTACATAAGTACATATCCACGCAGACAGCGGGACGTCTCCTTGTCGGCTTTTATTTCTGTCTTTCTCCAAGGATGCGCGTCTTGTTTGTTTGTCCAGGAAGCCTATCGTTGCATTTCTGCCATGGTATTGACCGTGTGATTTTCTTAGAAACACAATGGTATCCTCGCGGGCCGGGTTCGAAAAATTGTGTGCTGAGTGTTGCATCGCTTTCTGGCGCTTCGTCAAACTGACGCTCGCACCTCGATCGGTCGCTCCCAAACTCCATGGCCTCCTCGATTCACACGTGTTTCGGAACCGTATAACAGTACCTGCACTCGCCGTTCACATCAAGGTCAACGTTCCGGTCGATATTTCCGTACCGTGCATCCTTCTGGTTGGTAACGGTAATGGCTCCACATCCTTAACTAGAAATCGTGCCAACATAGCCCCTACCTACCCGCAGACAGACAGCCGCCTCCGTCTGCTCGATGCTACTAGGTACTGAGCAGCGACCTTTTTTTTTTTGTACAACCAACACCAAAAAGCTTGTCGCTTCTCACGCAGGGTTTGTTCCGCTGCCCGCCCCGTCGATTCGGCTGGCCTTTTTTTTTTTTTTTTCTTGTTGTCAGATGTACTCGTACATCCAGTCTCGATTCTACCGGTCCCCCGAGGTGATGCTGGGGCTGCCCTACACGACCGCGATCGACATGTGGTCGCTGGGGTGTATCTTGGTGGAGATGCACACGGGAGAGCCGCTGTTTGCGGGAGTGGACCAGTTCGACCAGATGTGCCGCATCGTGTCCGTCTTGGGTGTGGTGAGTTGAGACAGCAGTCTACTGCTGTCCGAGGATCACCGCAACAGCAGTTTGGGGCTGTGGGGAGCTTTACCCGTTTTGTTCAGCCGTCACCCCACCATCCATGAGCCGACCCCGAACCCCAGCCCGCCCAAATGGTAACGTTCTGCTAACTCCCGACGCTAGTCCCCACCAAGCGCTACAGCTGCCTAACCTTCGGTACGCCCTCCCCCCCCCCCCCGTTCTTGATATGTTTGTTGCATGGGGCCCCTCGTTTCCCACCAAACCCCACCCGATGTCGTAAAACGTTCACCTTCCACGCACCGAGGGCAGTTTTTCCAGGTAAACGACAGCGACAGCGGGGATGAAAACAACGATGTCCACGGCATGGACGAAGACGGCGGGGGATGTTCTGGGAGCGACCGCCGAAGAAGTGGAAGGCGGGGGGGGGGCCGGGAAGGGGGTAACCACCTGGAAGACGTGAGCCCCGGAACTTCCCCCAAAGGGGGGTTT